CGTGATACAGCAGGAAGTGTGGTGGACATAGTAGGCGAGGAAAGCCGTTCCCAGTGCTGCACCCTGGCTTTATTGCTACGACCACCAGGTTCTCGTGCTGAGTGGCTCCGATGTATCATCCCTGTAACTTCTCCAGTGTTTTGCTGCTGCCTCTCTGTGTGATCCATGGTCAGGGCTGGATCACTGTCACTGCCTTCTGATTCACCATACTGATCATTGTAATCATCGCGGCCTGCTGCTAGAGCAGCCCCGCTGAGCTTCTTCTTTTTTCTTAGAGAGCGACGGCGCACTGCCTCTCTACAGTGGGGGCCTATAGAAGCAGGGCTGTCCTCCTCGCTGCCTGAGGACCTGCCAATGACCTTTGCGCCCCAACGACCATTTTTATTGCGGGATAAATAGCTGCCCCCTCGCTCAGTGGCACTCCTTTCCCCTCCCCTGCAAGTGACAGAGGAAGCAGGACATGAGGGATAACCCCAAGCCCCTCCTCTCTTTCTCCTGCTGTGCACCTCTTCTTCGTCTCCAGAGCTTAACTTCCAATGGAAGCTGAGAGGAGAACTAACTTTTGTAGAGGCTCCTGGCTCAGAGGGGGGAGCTATAGTAGAGAAATAGGAGGTAATGGCTTTATCTGGAGCTGGAGCAAAGGAGATGGAGGAGGTGGTGGGGGCTGGTGCTCTAGAAGAGCTATGTGAGGAATGTAAACTATCCCTGGGCAGCCCGACCCCCTGTATATCCCTTCTCTCCCTCTCTGTCGGCTGCTGTAGAGAGGAGCAGCAGGAGGAGGTGTCTAAGCCCACCGATCGCCTCGAAGACGGAGCAGCACAGGGTTGAAGGTCAGGATTAGGGTCAGGCGTCGGTCCAGTTTTTCTGGGGAACCTACAGGTAGCTTCTGCCTCAGCACTGGCACTACGAGACCTGCATGTCGACGAATTACTCCTGTGAAAGTTACACTCAGTGTGAAAATGACTTCTGGAAGATAATTCAGAATTTTCTGTATCTCCTTCCTGGTCACTTGAGGGATGAGGATGGTCGGTTTTGAAATAAATGTCCACACAATAACAAGAAGTGTCTTTAGTAGAGCCAGTTTCCCTGTGTCCTTCTCCTGATACGAATTGATCCAAAACAGAAATGCAAACTGACTGCTTGCCACTTCCAATGCAGCTGGAGTCACATAAATAGCCTCTGCCAGCTGCCTTCAAGCTCTCACATGGGTCCGTCCTGAGCGGTCGCGAAGCTTTCTCGTCGAACAGTTGTCTGATTTTGGTGACGCTGGGCCACCTTTCAGAATGCGCGGGGATGTGGCGATAACTCCTGTGGGCTTTGCAGGGCAGTGATGCCTCTCTACCGCCAGCATCCTCCTCCTCATCCGTAGTCAAACTCTTTCTAAGATCAGCGGCAGAGATGTGAGAATAACCTCTCTTACCAGACTTGCCGCTCTCAGCCGAGAGGCGCCTAAATATCCACCTCTCCGAGTCTGAGCCCGACACAGAGTCGGTGCCGGAGTGAAACTTCAGCGACTTGCTGTCCGAGAGAGACTCTGCAGGGGTTGGGTCGCTCTCCAAGAAACACCCCTCGCCGCTGTCTTCGTGGAAAGATTTACGAGCCGGAGAGCCGTCTCCCCCGTCGCCTCGGGCCCGGGGTCGAGTGCTGCTCCCCCGCGTAGGCGCCGCGCCGTCTCCCGGCGAGGCTTGTCGCGTCCTGCTGGATCCGCCGCTCGTCTTGCCGCCGCCGCTGCAGCTGAACCTCTCCGTGAGCTGGCGGATGGACGGAGAAATAGAGGAGGGAAGAGCGGAGGAGCCTCTCTTTGGCTCTGCGGTTGCGGTGGCGGAGATTTTGGAAACTTTTCTTGACACACTGACATTACGCGTCGCCCAGGACCGCTCTGCTCGGCTGGGCTCCGGGGGGAGGGCGACGCCGACTGACTCCGAACCCTCTGACTCCCGCTGCCGCTCCTCACTCCCGCTGGAGCCCAGCTTTCTGAAAGAGGCGCCGCGATGCGCGGCCGCGTTCTTCTTTTTCCTCTCAGCCATTGTTCATGTCTGTCTTTGTTACAACGCTTGAAAAAGCTCCCTTTCTGCTGGTCGCTCCATTCTTCTCCTGTCCCCTCTTCTCACAGTCCAACCAACCCCAAACAACAACTTTTTCATTGAAGCTGTTTGTAAAAACACCAAGCTGCTCCTTTATGTATAAAAACGACCAGGCAGCGGGGGGGTTAAAAAGAAAAGGTGAGGGCAGACCTCTTGATCGAAAACTTACATATTTGATCGAATGCCGAAACCGCATCCAAAGAAAGGCGAAACTTTTTTTGTTTGTTTGTTTGTTTGTTTTTTGGGCCAAAAACTTCCCCAGCCAACCTCTTCACAAACACAACTTTTCCGTTGTTGTTCCTACTGTTTGTAAATCTGCGCACATCCTTCCCTGCGCACCGACCACGCTGAACTGCACCAAAACTGTTTGTGGATTCCTTATTTTGCCATCATTTGCTTTTCCGTGACTTGTGTTGTGTTTTTGCGCGTGCATGTTAATGCTCGAGATAGGGCAGAGGGGGTGGGCGGGACTAAGGGGGTATAGGGGCTGTCATAACCCCCTTGGGGAACTGAGAGGAAAAGCTCCCCCCCCCCCCTCGTCTCCCTCCTCCCCTGTTGATAGAGGGGAGATACAGTGAACTAACTGGATGTAATTATAGCCTCTTCCCTTGTGAAAAACACAACAGCACTGTCAGGACAGGAGGGGGGGAAAGTTCTCAAATAAGTAGCCACTATAAAACAGAACAGATTTCTACCATTATTCTGACTGCAGCGTTTTTAGAAAGGAAAAAGAAAAAAAAAAGTCAGATCACTGCAGACTTTGCAACAGCTTTGGCACAGCGAGGAGCTCCAGAAGCCGCATGTCAGCATTTGTAGGAAGGGGGTTGGGGGGCAAAGATACAAGTTTTCATTCCTGCACAATAACCTCTCTGTGGTGCTTCCCATGTGGCTGTCTGCTTAACAGGTCCTTTTGTTCCAGAGGGGAATTCTGTGCTCCAGTCTCTCACAAAGGAAAGGGTGGGAGGTTATCACTGCAGCGCCCCCCACCGGTGGGATCCCTACACCTTCAGTTCTGAGTTGGAGGACATGAAAGTACATGCAGGTTCAAAAGGACTCCTGCTGAGTTTGGGTTGTAATTTGCTAAACTGCCAAATGTTCTTTACTGTTTTAAAGTGAAAGCTAAAACACCGGCCTTTCAACAACACCGAGGCTGCATACCTGAGCCAACAAGATAGAAAAAAATTACTTGAAGTAGGCGGAGAAAAATGTGAAGAAAGAGTGAGGTTTTTATACAAGTAACTTAAATGATTCTTAAAAACAGCAAGTCTGGTCACCTCGATTCCTTCTGCACGCTTTCCCCGTTCTTGAAAGAGTTCTCTCTAGGTACTCAGGCATCCTCTTGCAGTCAAAAAAAACAATACCTTTAGGCTATTTGGTTACTATAATTTTCCCTTATGATTTAGTGAGTTTGTTTGTTCAGTAGTTCTTCGTGATGGGCTGGTGACCTGCACAGGATGTACTCCCCTGACCGCTGGAGAAAGATACCACTCTGACCCTGTAAGGACAAGCACTCACAATACGTGAGAGTCCTCTGATCAATAAAGGTTAACATTTTACATATGTCTTGAATAAATACATTGGACTCCAAATAATATTTGACTAAAATGCCCCAAAGGAGGTTGCTGAGAAATTACAGGCTTTATAGCCACCAACATAATAAATAAACCCAACATAATTAGTGTTTATAAAACTAATTCAGGTTTTTGGATCATCAAATTCAAATAAATGAGATTCACGCCTGTAATGGAAGCATTTTAAATCATAGTCCATAGAAGTTATGTAGTTTGCATCTCCTTTTATTTGCGTTTTTAGCTTCTAAGTTATTTTGAATCTGTTCAAAAACAATTTCACAGAAAACTATGAGTCTAAGAAAATAAAATATTTACAACACAGAGACATTTTTGACACCGAACATTTTTTGACATGTTACACTTTTTCTAAAATAAAAATCTACAGTTTTTAAAACACTATGAACAGCCACATTAAAATTGGCACTGTGCAGATGTAATAAGTTTCCACCATCATATCAAACACAAGATGCGACGTTGGCTCATATTTAGAGCATGGAAGGGGGGCACTTTTTAAATTACATAATTTAATAACTAAAAATATACTTTGTCCAAATGTAAATCTTCAAGCACATTACTTCATACGTGTGTTTTAAATGTTTATGCATATGAATTGCATACATTTCACATTCAGTGTAACACATACTTATCAAACACTAAGTCAGCTGGAGAAATTATCTCAGCTAAACACAGAAAGTAAACAAAGGAGCTGAAGTATTACCACATTAATACCTTATTAATGTGATTCTTAAAACAGTGAGTTTTCAAAAAAACAAACAAACAAACAAAGAAAGCTGGGAAAACATAAATACAGCAAATGCATTGTTCGCATTGTTTTTATGCTGTTCATTGAGACACAGATTCACAGTTTCTGCAGTTACAATGGCATTTTCAAACAAAACAGCGTGTAAAACACATAATATGATAAAAGAAATACAAAGAGGCTCACAATGAAAATCACACAGTACAAGCAAAAACAAACTGGAATATGCTGTGTCACAGGAATTTACTTTCAAACTTTATTTGCAAATGGAATTTGGATTTTAGACTGTATCCAGTAAGAGCAATTAAAACAGTGCAATGCTAAGCAGTGCATTTCTTCTCTCGACTACCTCTAGTAGAGTAAAGAACTCAGAGTAACATAGGACCATCTCCACTGAAAGGAACCCTTGGTAAAGATGTGAAGAAAACAACCCTTCAAATGATTTCATATTTAATTCCAAGGTAATTTCACAAATGAAAAAATGTTAAAACCCAAGGTAATTTTTGAAATTTCATTCAGTGAGGAAACAAATAATACCTCCTACAAAACATATTTAAGAGAAGCATTTTTAAACCTACATCTTACTTCCTTTAAGTTGATAAGTTGGGGGGTAAATATGTTTTTTTTTTACAGAGGTACGTCTTTCTTACAGACTCCTTAGAAGCAGAAAGGTTAAACTTACTTTAAGCCTTGCATTTAGGCCCATAAATCGCCATTTTGTTACTTCTGAAAAAGTTCTTTGCTTCATTAATACGTGATATTAATGTCACTTCCAACATTAAAATGTACTTTCAATAAAACAATGTCCAAACTGCCAAAGTTAATGCACTACAAGCTGGACTTTGGTTGTAACTGGTTCATAATTAACTGCAGTGCAGATAATGTGATCCGTGCTGAATAAATCATATTGATTACGTTCAAGCCAGAGCCAGTGTTTGGATGCAGTGGAGTGCACACGACCTCCAGTGGTGAAAACATGAAACTACATGCTTTACAGCTTCAACATATTTTTGTGCTGAACAAATGTAAAGATGTAAAAACAAAATGATGATTTAAGTTGCAAAAAAAGACTTTTTAAATTTCACTCTGTATTACTATAGCAAGTGCAATGACAAAATAACCTCTAAGGCATATTTTTTGTGTGTGTTTAATGCTGATCAGTTACAGGTTACAATCTCTTCATTTGAAAATCAGGAACGCACCCCAAACCTTGTTTGTTGTGGCTGATAATTTGACTGTATTCCATTCATTTAAGTCTTCAAGGACTTTCTTACTAAATGGTTGTTAAAATGGAAAAAGAACAGCTAATGACAGACGTAGTCAAAATGGGATGTGCTCACACTGCGGTTCCCTTGTCCCTGAGGGAGGTCACTTTGAGCATAAACCTCTTAGTGCTCTTGCGGTATCGCGGTTGGGTAAAGTAAAACAATATAGGGTCCAGCAAACTGTTCATGCTGGCAAATGGCCTTGTGCACTTATAGATGATTGCGAACAAGTTCCTCATCTCACAGGGGGCACTGGGCAAAGTACGCACCACGAGGTACATAGTTTTAGTAAGGTGGAAGGGCAGAAAGCTTACACAGAACACGGCCGCCACCACAAGGATCATCCTCACAGCCCTGTCTCGCTTCTCCCCCGTGGCTACCGAGACCCCGTGGTAGGACACGGGGCGGCAGAGGATGTGCGCCATCCGGCAGTAGCAGACCATTACGCCGAGAAAAGGAAGCAAGAAGCCGAGGAAGGTCAGAGCCATGCCGTAGGGATAGTAATCCACTGAGCGCTTCGGCGTGCTCAGATCATAACACACAGTGCGGTTGCGCTGGATTCCTGTCGCAGCAAAGTTGAAAGTTGGTGCACAGAGGAAGAGGACCACCACCCACACCCCTGCGCAGATTCCCCACGCCATCCTTCGGCCGCCTTCTTTGAGCCACATGGTGAAGGGGTGGCAAATCCCGATGTAGCGATTCACACTGATGCAGGTGAGGAAGAGGATGCTGCCATGCAGATTACTGAAATAGGAGAACAAATGTGTAGGTATCATTGGATTGTGCATCTTTATAAATGACTAATGATTTATAGGGAATTAATATGTGATTTGGTAAAAATCGAATTACGTTTAGCAAAATCTCCTGCTAATTTAAAAAAAAAAACTATGGAAGCTTTTCCTCTAGGAGAAGCTTCCCAGTTGTCTTATTAACAAGATATTTTTTTTTACAAAGTATTAGCAGGACATTTTGCTAAAAGCAATTAGTTTTTATATTTATTTAACACAGAATTGTTCCCTACTGAGAGATTAATGGGTATAAACAATGGAAGATGCACTTATTTCCCATTCTCTTTACAAGTGGTGAAAATAGATGTGCCCAGCAGTGCATTGCCTGGTTATGTTTCATAGACTGATAGAGAAGATTAGCACTTTTATCTCTAACACAGAACCACAACATACATATTCTCAACTCCTTTGTATCTAGTCACTTAATAAAGATCAACCCTAAGTGATACCACAACAAATCCCTATCTAGAGTGAAAATTACCCAAAACGCAGCAGATAACGTACCTGTAGAACTGAAACCTGACCAGTTTACAGGCAAACTCCCCAAAGGGCCAGTAGTCATGGCTGGCATAGTTGTAGATGAGTAAAGGAAGTGACATCACATACAGAAAGTCAGCTATGGCCAAGTTGAGCATGTAGATGTTGTTCCGGGAGACGTGGGGCCTCGTCCTCCATATCTTCAGTATGACGACGGCGTTGAGAGGAAGGCCGAGCACAAAAACGACAACGTACACCGCAGGGAGTAAAATCTTCTTAAAGTCTTCCTTGTATGTGCAACGTAAGGAGCTGGCGTTGCTGAAGCTGCTGACAGAGACATGTGTGGTGTTTGGTTCTGATTCTAAATTGGTGGAGAGCAGGTCCAAAGTGATTGCTCTTGAGAGTAGCGACTCAGTAGGGGAGGAGTTGAGAAAATGTTGCATCTTCACATCCTGCAAGACAGGCGTAGGATGAAATGTTAAAATCAGAGTTTCCTTTTATGCAACAGATCAGTGCTCTGTGTTCCTCTACAACAACAAACAACAAACTCTATATGAACTGATTCATTTAAAGTTCCTCTGAGGTCATACGATGACTCCATTTTCAAGATACAGCAACATTCCACCAGAGGGCAGACAATGTCTACATTGACGATAAAGAACATAGTACAAAATTAAGCAAGCTCTAACCGTTTCTGAAAGAATGCTTCAAGTGGTTTATTAACAAAAAGAGTTGAACAGGTGAGCTAAATGTGGTCGACTAACTTGTACGCTGTGTCTTTCTTTTAGGGCCTTAAAAGATGAAAATGACGATGTGCATGATTCTAATTTATCACCTTTGGTGTCAAAACTTAATCCAATAAAAATAAACAGACTGAAATTATTGTGTACCGCACATGCCTCATTTTTAATATATTATAAATTTTTACTCCCAAAACCGGCAACACTGGTAAAAACATGCATATTCTAAAAGCCGTACCTGCAGCAAAAGGTGGTTCTTCAAAAAAATGTATGTCAGAGTGGCTTTTTCCTAACGCAATACAGCTTTTTGAAAGAAACATTATTATTATTTTTATTATCCTTCCAATTAACAATTATCTGGAACCTAAATCACACTTAAATACACTAAGCTTTGTGATTGCGATGTAAAAGAAATGCGAAAAATTGCATGGGTTATGAAAACTTTTGCAAGCTCTCGATTGCCAATGGAAAAAACAAAATCAAGTAAATCTAACCTGGGTGTATAAAATATGATACCTTAATTTGTGTCAAAACTATTTGATTAAATACCACAATAGTCTGTCTAGACACCTCCTCAGACCTCACACAGTCTGGAACAGAAAAGGAATTAATGAAATAATCCTGAATAATGAAACCCCTCCGACATCAGACACATCCAAGTCTTTTTTTTTTTCGGGGAAGCCAGGAGTTGAGCAAGTTAAGCTGTTAACTCCATAAAAGCATTACTCATGCTATTTCACAACCTGGTATTTGTAAGGACAAGTGAGACATTTTAAAAACTGCCTGAGTTTGTGTGCTTTAAAACTTTTTCAAGAGGTCGTGGGTTCCTTACAGCCCATCCCTTGAGTGGGTGCAGGAACAGTGACGTCTGACTTCAGATTTCCTGGCAATGCAGGAAGAGGCAAGAAGTAGACCATAATTTATCACATTAATAAATTGTTATGCACAGAAAGAAAGGGCAAAGTTGTTTCGAATAATTCTGAGACAAATTTGGATTGAAAAGTGAACACATTTCCACTAATACCCTGGAGTTTAAAATATCTCTCCTTTTGACCGGCGTTAACCTGCAAATTTACTCCTGATCAAAATGCATTTACAGTGAATGTCCACCCTTCTGTTTGTGAATCAAAAGTGGTCAAGCACAAACTTGACACTTGATGTATTGTCTTCACTTCCAAGGAAAAGGTGACCACTAGGTCAGGCATGCTGAGTACAAAGAAAGGAAATTATTTAATCTACACTGACTTGGAAAACGAGAATGAAAAGCATTCTGAGTCCAGCAGGATTTCCAACAATTCTTCCAACAAATAACTGATAAACAAATTACGGTTAAACATCAACAGAGATTCATTGACGGGAAAAGACACAAAGTGATGCTTATCTTCCTTATTCATAATTAAAGGTGGAGAATTATGAGAAAACTGATTTGAAATTGAGAAATTGAATTCCAAATCAGGGATGACATAGATTTTTGTTTGCTCTATGATCCAAATGTCCCCGCTATTTCAATTTGCACCACATGCTATATTTATTGGCAACCCTAAGAATGGTAAAAATTATTCACATCTTAAACTTTTAAACATTTGCTTTGTTACCGTTTCACGTTTGCGTTGCTACTTTTCTCAGCCAAATCACCTTTGTGAAAAAGGTCCTGACCTCAATATTTATATGTGTAAAACTTCTAATAAGATGTTTGAAATAAACCTTAACTTGCAGCAGCATAATCTCAATCTCAATTTGATTTGAGTAATTGTATTCACAAGGGAAAGCATCCCCATATATAAAAAAAAAAAAAGTTTTCTATTTTTGACCAAAATATGTACATGTATCTGACATTAGATGTACTGGCAATCTCAACACTTACAGAGTGGATGCATTTTTTACATTAAAGACTTACATTATATATTTTTTAGGTCTTAAAATGACGAAAAAAATAGTGGAGTGGCAGGATTTCAAAAAGTATGACTAAAAAGTACGTAATTTGCATTAAAACTTGTTTCATTTTTATAAAAAATAAATTTCAATAGACAATCTCTGAAATAAAGCTTTTCTTAATACTTATAAGCCAAATTATGTGACAAGGCTGGAAGACCAGAGTTTATCTAGGCACCCAAAAGAAACATCTCCATATCTCACTTGGTGAACTACAGCAAAGAGAAGTCTAGTAGGATCACCAGGTCTGCAGGTCTGTGTTAAAATCCTCAAAATGGTTTATTTGAAGGATTTTAACACATTGTTTCTATGTGTGTCAGTATCTGTGGAGGGTTCTGTGTGTTTTGAAAGTAACATGTAAAACAAACAAGATGTAATCTGCTGTTTGTTTGGTTTCTTTTGCCAGTGTTTATAGTAAGTCTCACATGTGTTCAAATGGAAACACTGACAGGAAGAAAACAGATACAGGACATTAACTCAGGTTACACTGCCAGTGACGGCACTGTGTTATTTCTGTTTGATAACCTAGTCTGCCCTCAGCAGAATGTTAATGTATAAAGGGTGTTTTTGAAATCTGCAGCATGTTTGTTGGATTTATGTTGGATTGTTTCTGTTATTTTATGCCCTTCCTGAGGCGACTTAAACCCAGGAAGGCTACAGATCCAGACTGGGTGTGGTCCAGGGTGTTAAAAGGAATGTGCTGCAAAACTGGGAGAAATTTTATTATATATCTGCAACACAAGAGTTCATTAAGATGGAGGACTGTCGGTGCACTACCCTAACCACCAGTACAGGGGTGCGTCAGGGCAATGTGCTTTTGCCCTTACTTTTTGCCCTGTACACCACCGATTTCAACTACAGCTCTGATACACATACAGAATGTATCTGGCAGTACTGCAAGTGTGTCATGTATAAAAGGAGGCAGAGGAGAGGGGGAGTACAGAAGACTGGAAGGGGACTTTGTGGCATGATGCAGGAGAAATAAACTCCAGGTCAATGCCACTAAAACAAAGGATATAGTACCGGGGCTTTGCAGGGTAACATTTCCCTTCCAGCCAATTCCCAGCAATAGTAATGATGTAGAGGTACTCAGCACATACAAATACCTGCATCTACATCTGGACAATAGGTTGAACTGGCTCCTAAATACGGACAATGTATACAGGAAAAGGCAGAGCTGATTGCATTTTGTGAGAATACTTCCCTCTTTTAATGTGAGCTCTAAGCTACTGTGTCAATTCAGTTGAATTGACATAAAATTGTCTCAAGACAGGCCGAACTACTAAAATGTTGTTCAAAACCTGTGCAAAAAATGATCTGTGTTGCACATATGATTGTTATGTCTTTGCTCAGTGATTGACGTTTTCATTCTAAATTTTTGGCGTCAGGTTTAAAATTGCCTACATGTGTTTTCTGTAAACCATTAAGCAGAGGGACATAGATTTTAACAAAAGGCACAGTCAATGACGTTCTAGCTTTTTAGACTCATAATTATTAATTTTTATAATCTATATTAATATTTAACTTTAGTTAAACAGCCCTTAATGTGCCAAAATGGACCCACATGAGCACAAAGTACCAAATGCACCACCATTCACTTCTTGTTTACTTCTACATACAATCATTTCGCTGATGTTAATTATGCAATAGCACAACACAGAGGAGAGTAACATTCAGCTTTGTGTACAGTAATAAGTCCTTGCATCAGAATGAAGGGTTTGATCACGTTTCATGACAGATTACAAGTAGAGAACAAGTAGAGGAGTGCATAATCAGTCCTCAGGCTTAATAGTTTCAGCCTGTAAATTCGTCAAAAAGAATGGAAAGCATCTATATTTAGCAACTTTACCATCATAGAGGCAAAAACAAAAACAATCTTGCCTGAGGCTGCCTTGTCGGCAGAGGTTGTGATATCAGGCAGCATTCCAGGAAGGAATTCGACAATTTATATGGTTGTGTTAGAGTGAATGTTTGCATCTCAATATTTGGCATAAAGTACTCAGGACGCATGAGAAATGGAAGGCAGAGTTAGAATCTTACCCCTGTTGATTTGATGTTTAATGTTTTCATTATGTAAAGCATTTTGAATTCTCTACTTGCTGAAATGAGCTATGCAAATAAACTCGCCTCGCCTAGTGCTGACATCTATTCCTTATTGTAAACTACAATAAAATAGCTACAACAGAAAAAACTTCAATAAGAAAATAACATGAAGTGTGTAACCATGTGCAGCCACAAAAAACTAATTTAAATAACTAGTCTGAAGCACAGCAATTCCGAACGATCAAACTTAAAATAAGTACCGATTTGTGAACCATAATCATCTAGTCAGCTGAATAAAGCATTTCTACTCCATCGAAATAATGTGCTTTCACATAAAAATAGCTTTATTTTTGTCATACATATTTTTCTTCTTATTTTGAGAAAGTGCATGGAAAATATTCACAGTAGGAGTGCTGTTCTCAGTTTTCACTAAACCAAATATCATGCATCTAATTTGATCAAGGATGAAAAAGCATTATTCTGTGCTTCTGTGCTGTTTTAATTACTGCATTCAGCCTCGAACGCAGGATTTAAAGTTCCGGCCTGAAATGGTAATTGAGTCTTCTTCTCATTCACCCAAACAAAGCAAAACCTGCAAAGAAGAACATCTGAATGTGCAGGATTGTGGAGGGATCCACAAGAGTCATGTCTGCAGGGTAACATCACAAATCAATGCCAGGGTTGCTTCCTCTCCCTGAACTCTACTGACCCCGACCATCCACTTATAAACCTTCCTA